AGAACCCTCAAACTCCCAGGCCTCTGGAAGAGGACCCGAGATTGAGGAAGACACGTACTGCCCATAGGGGTGAGAGGGGAATTTTTAATTCAATTGTTAAACTTATCATTAACATCTAAACTATATATCATCATATTGCTTCATCTTCTCATTTTAGAACACAGAGACTTTTCAAAAACAAACTCATAATCTGGATCCATTCCTTAAAATCAGGAGAGTAGCTTTCTTTCCAACTGTGTAGAATCATCCTCTTCACTTTACTCCAGGCTCAACAGAACCAAAATTCTTCATAAGTCGACAAATTCCATGTTTTAGGAATACAATTTAACATCACATTAAAATCCTTAACTATAATATTTCTTCCCAAAATTATATTCACATACATATTGATTTGAACTAAAAACAACACTAATAACAGAACAGGACCAACTCATGTGAGTTAAAGAACTTTCAATTTCTTTATATCACCAACCTAAGACATCTAACCTCCATTCCTTTTTAAACGGTCTTTGTGGGGTCCCATAGGCATGAAATAATATTTTCTCATGAATTTATTTCATTTTTAAGTCACAGAAAGTGCATTTCACATTTTTAACAACTGCACCCATTGATTTTCCAAAATTTGAATATTGAATACTCCACTTCTTCCTTCTAGAGATCAAACATATAACTAACTTTCATTTCACATTTTAATATCTTATAAAGCTATATTGCTGGTTTCAGTTCAAGTGCAAGATCTCTTTAAAAAGCTAAAATTGCAGGTACCTCAGAGGCTGCTAAAGTAAAGTAGAGCAAATATATTTCAGTTGCATATATTGTTCAGTGTGTAATGGAAGTAAGCCAAATTTCAAAATGCAATCTCTCTAAATCTGTTTATCTGCAGCTATATTGACCTCCAACAATATAGGTGCCAGTAGGTCTATAAACGTTCTATAGGATTCAACAGGAAATCCACCCAGTCCAAAGGGTTTCCTTGATTTTATAGATTGCAATGTCTCTGTGATTTCTTGTCATGTCATTGTTCGTATCAATATATTTTTATGTTCCTAAGAAATTTACTCCATTTCAATGTGTCACAGGAAATTAATAATTTGTGTCTGGTTACAAAAGTCTCTAATTGATATAACTGAGTATAAACACCATAAAACCTTTGATTAATGGATTCTGTTTCAGTAAATCAGTGTCCATCATTAGTCTGAATTCTAGATGTATGGTTTTGTGGTTTCTGTTGCTTCAAATGATAGGCCAGTAACTTAGTTTACTTTTTTGATTCCCGGTATTTCAAAGATATTCAAACTATTCTGAATGTAAAATCCCCAGTTTAAACTTTGCTGGTGTAAATGCTTCATCTGATTTGTCTGTGGGATTTCTAGCATATAACAAAAGTGAGTCTTAACCAACTATTCCAGCTGTATAAAATTGGAGTTGCTAAGTCTCTTTTATGCTAAGTCAAAAGCATTAATAGATTCCCTAATGAATGCCTTAAATGCACCCCAGAGAGTTAAAATGTTTAGTTGAACCCCAATTAATTTCTAAAAAGAAACCAATTTATTTTTCAATATATTCCACAAAAAAGAGTTTAAGGAGAGAAATATTCAAGTACCTCCTGGAATTAGCTGATGTATGAGAATATATTGGTGCTACCTATCAAATGTTTCTTGATTTTCATTGTTGCAACCATAGTTGGCTGTAAACAAATTACACTTGGCTCAGTTTGCACAATATGTTAAACCATAAGCTATGGTGTACAAACTACAATCAGTAGGTCCATACAATGCACTACATTAAAACCAGACAAACCACACAAGATGGTTTTAGTTGAACCCCAGTCCTTGTACTCTGGTCAGGCTTCACCCAGACCAAAACTCAGAATCTGAAGAACAGATTCAGAACCCATAACTCTGTTAGGTTGCTTTTACTGCAGAGATGATAGATAGATAGATAGATAGATAGATAGATAGATAGATAGATAGATAGATAGATAGATAATTAGGCTCAAGGTTCAAAACTTATATCTCTTGCTCCCACCATTATGTCATCACAGACTAAAAGTCTTCATTTCTCAGCGTGGGATGTGGTCAGCACTTGCCTTGTCTTAGACTGTTCATTTCTGATGTTGCAAGCTTTTGCCAAATACTTCCCTTAGCACTGGAGATGCCAGGAGCCTTTTTCTCTCCTCCCTTCACTCTCATCTGAGAAACTCTTCTCTCCTTCCCATCTTAGGAAATCAGTGGGGAGAGGGATATCTATGTAGCTGGGTTGTTGCTGCTTAAGCAGTTCTCCTCAGACCAGAACTTCTACCTCAGCTATGGACAAGGAGGTCAGGGAGGAGAAATCTCCATCTCTTCTTTACAAAGACAGTATACAGGAATCGGGTGAACTTCCGTCTTTTCCACGTCTTTGTTAACTACTCTTCCCACACCTAAGTCACCCCCACATCTTTCAACCAGAGGGTTGCCTTTCTTTCGTGCACTGGATTTGTGTAATTTCATCCTTGCTTCCCTGGTTAAACCCCATTGTTGCTGCACTGCTGTCACATATCCTGGCATCAGTGTGTCAAACAATACAAGGATGAATGAAACATGTTAGGGGGTAGCAACAGCAGTGAAATCAATTGAGCACTAAATCTGAACTGAGTGTCCTTCTCTCAAACAGGAAATTATTAACAAGACAAGAACCAAACATAAGAACAGTGAAACATATTTTTATTACTAAGAAATCCCAATGGTTCCATGTACAAAATGTGGGCCAAAAGAAATGTAAAATTAATTCACTGGTTAATATAAAAGTCTCACTCACAAGATGGAAAATAGTATTAGTTGCAATGGATATTTTGTGCATGCTACTTCTTACAAATTCCTAGGTCAAGGATGCAAAATGCATCTGTGCTGTCTCAGGGAAATGTCAATTGTGCTAGTTGAGCACAAATTGTCTATTTTTCTTTGGTTCTGAAAAAACACGCTATAAAGAGATGTTTCTTGGCAAATTGCAATTAGCAGCCAGTTTCTGCATGATTCCATTCTATGTTGAAAAAGGAACCAACTTGCACAAATTGTGTGTGTGTGCGCACGCACACACATGCAGGCACACAAGGGTGGGAGAATACCTTTCATCAGAAGTGTAACAAACAATCAAAAGAGAGCACCAATGAGAATAGTTTTCAGAATCTTTGCATTCTCTTTCTTTTATTTTGTCCTACGAGGTTTCTTAAGGACATGATAGCATCCCATCCAGTTATTAAGTGGTGGTGCACCCTCTTCTCAGGCGGTCATCCTTGGACATGACTGTGTTGGATAACTTTCATCCAATCTCCAACCTTCCCTTTCTGGGGAAGGTTGTTGAGAGGGTAGCTGGCTGTCAGCTGCAGAGGGCCCTGGCTGAAGTGGATTATCTGAACCTTTTTCAGGCTGGGTTCAAGCTGGGTTATAGTATGGAGATGGCATTGGTTACACTTGTGGGTGACCTCTAGAGGGCTTGGGATGGAGGTGGTGCAACTGTCCTCTGGATCTCTCAGTGGCTTTTGATACCATCAACCATGATCTTGGTTGGGAGTGGAAGGCACTGTTTTGCAATGATTCTCCTCCTTTCTCCACAGCCGGTTCTAGTCAGTGTTGGTGTGGGCAGAGAAGTCTAGCTGTAGATCCTTGTAATGTGGGGTGCCTTAGGGCTCAGGTCTTTCACCACTCCTCTTTATCATCTATGTGAAATCACTGGATGAGATCATTTGATGGCACTGGGTGCAGTATCATCAGTACATTGATGATACATAATTATACGTCTCTATCAGGTAATGCTGTTTTGGTGCTGACCCAGTGCCTGGAGGCTGTGAGGCTCAGAAATGAGGAGCAACCAGCTCTGAGTCAACCCTAGCAAAATGGAGTGGCTTTGGGGGTTTGGCCCCCCGGGTCTGGTGAGGTTTTATCTTTGACACTCAATGAGGTAGCATCCCACCAGGCAGAGTTGGTATGCAGTTTGGGACTCATGACTCCTACTCAAGGAGCAGGTGGCAGCCATAGCTACTGGGGTCTTTGTACAGTTATGTCTCATGCACCAATTGCACCTATTCCTGGACTGGGAGGCTTTGCTTACAATCACGCACATCTTGGTCACTTCCCACTTGGATTATTGCAATGTGCTCTACTTGGGACTGCCCTTGAAGACCACCTGGAAGCTACAACTGGTTCAGAATTCAGCAACTCATGCAGCACTGGGAACCCCTCAATTTTCTGCACTGGCTCCCCATTTCTTTCCAAGTGCAATTCAAGGTTCTGGTTGTTATCTTTAAAACCCTACATGGCACAGGACCAGGTTATTTGTGGGACCACCTCTCCCTGAAGGTATCTGCCTGGCTCACTACGCTAGATAGGGTGAGCACACTCCAGGTCCTGTCCCTTAAGTATTGCTATCTAGTGGGACCTAGGAAGTGTGACTTTTCTGTGGCAGCCCCTGCCCTGTGCGATCCAGGAGGCCTCCACCCTTTTAGCCCTCCAGAAAGCCAGAAAGAAGGGCTGGCTTTTCCAGAGATGTGTTCTACATGATGGGTGGCCATATCATTTTTTAAAAATAAATAAATGTATGCTCATATGCCATGGCTAAATATCCCCCTAGTATGGAAGCTATGTCTTCGTCATCTGGCAAAAGTGGCATGCTGTAGACATATGAAAGCTGAAGAGTCATTCAGTAGAGGAGATGCTTGCCTGTCCAGTGTGCTTCATAACAGGAAGGTGTATCGTACTAATGCCAGGCATGAAATACTTCTGTGATACTGTGTTATACATAGGGATTGTTCCACTTATTCTGGTCTAGCAAACTTAAGTCCTGTTGAAAACTGGTTGTGCAAAGGACCAGAAATAAAGACCATAACTATATCCTCAAATTTCTACTGTGCTGTATCCAAAGAATCATCTGGTGGTCCCAGTTTTCTAAATCCAGGCAATCTACTTCCAGCCTTGATCACACATTACATCACCCATGTAATTAATTCCCTATGCCAATTCTATTACATACAGAATATATCAGAAATATGGATTGTGATCTCCTCTTATGTCCTTTTTAAACAGCATTTCTGAATTGTCTTTCAACAACAACAAAAAGTTTAATTCCCCCACATACAAAATATAGCCAAAATAGCTATCTCCTCCATTTATAAATCTGGTTTTACTTTTTTTTTTCAAAATAAAACAAGATGTTTTCAGGTCCTCCTCTTTGACTTAAACCTATAGGCTTGTTTGGCTCAGATGAAGTGCTTATGAACCAACCTGGGAACTCTGCAGATTCAAAAGAGCAAGTCTCTGGCCTGCCACCACTCATACTATAGAAAGTGAAATTCTTGAACTCTTCTGGTGCTTTATAGAGCATCTCAATATCTTTCTCCTAAGAAAACATGAAGCCTTCATTAGAAAAACAAAGTATATTATATCACATGACAACAGGATTAATAGTGAATGCAGAAGATTTCTTTTTCCCATTAACAGAGTATTGATGTTTCTTATTTAGAACTTGGAACCACAGGAAGCTTTTAATTACATGTGTAGTAGTCTCAGCAGTACTTTGCTTTTCTGGGCTGAGTAGCCCAGCATTGCAATTTAATTTACTTGTGAAAAGCAAAACAAAAACAACAAAAAAACCTGTCACTAATTATATCAGGGGGAAAAATGACAGAGAAAGATAGAAATTACTGTCATCTGGCACATGGTTCTTTATGAGCAGATTGTGAGTCTTCTTATTTCACAGAGTAGATATAATCTAATGATAGTGAAGAAGGAGAATCATATTTTCCTAGAGAAAAGAAGGATTGCAAATGAAACACTCACCATGACCTGTAACTGAGGTTGACCATCACCAGACTTTCTACAGGACACAGCACAATTACCGACACCCATAAAGATTGGATTCTTTTTTGGATCTAAGCAGGTATTAGGAAATACAGCAAAAGAACTCCCTTGGGAAGAATAATATGAAAGAGACAGAGTCATGGATGTGTGGCAAAATGAAATTGTTTCATTGACTTGGAAATGTTGAATGAGAAACCAGTGATGGAAGGTTAACAATAAGCTTTACCAAAATAAATAGCAGATCACTGTAGTTGAGGTAGAGTAGGAGATAGTGGACATTGACACAAAGAAACTTTGGGAACTCCAAATTATTTAGACCATTGTAGGCATACACAGGAATGTTGAGACAATATTGTAGAGGCTCATAAAATGGCTGACCTGCTTGTGTATTCAGAAAATGTCGTCTGCTCTGAGTGCACCCACACACAAATACTCATTGACTCAATTATAGGCAAACCCCAGTGAGGTTGCTTCTCCTCATCCTCTCAAGCCACACAAACACCACACCACCCCTTTCTTCCACCCAGATTATTTTTCTCATTTTTCTAGGCAGATGGAAAACAAATAGAATATGTATGTATGTATGTGCGTATGTAATGCACCCCAGGGTGGGAGGCCAACCACAATAAAAAATTAACAAGTAGGAATTAGCAGTTAAATTATACAAAAGTAATAAAATCTACCATAACACGTTTATAATCATAATGAAAATAATACTAAAACTTATAAAAACATAAATCTTTTTTTTTTTAATCTTATGTATCTATTTGTTTATTTTCCTGAAAACTTTAGGGCAGGAAGCCTGTTGGCAGAAAGGCAGATACCCAGGGCAAATGGTGTCCACCAACTTCATGCTGGGGGTGAAATATAAGAGAATTGACCCTTCAGTGGGTCTTTTAACCATGGTTTTAGAGTCTTCTCTAACTCACTATTGGGTAGCAAGTCCTGATACCTCTGTCACTGTTGTTATGGTCCTTTGGGTGAATCCAGAAACTTGGTGACTACAGTATCAAAGATGGAAATCAATAATTTGGCTAACACTAGGACTAAAATATTCCAGCAAAAAATAACAGATTCTACTGTTACCTGGTGAGTTTGAATTTTGTGGAGTTGCTATTAATGTGTTGTTCATCACACTGAGAAATTTATGGCTAATATCCCAAAATTGAAACAGCCAGGGTACTTTCAATACTTCCGGAACACTGTGTCCTTCTGGAGGTTCTGGGCATCCTGTACAAATATATATATATACATATCAACACACAAAATACAGGTAAAGAGAATGTTCCAAAGATTGAACATTCCAATGAAGATTCCAATGAAAATATTGGAACGTAATATCCTTAAAAGTTGTTTATGTCACTTAAAGTTTGGGCTTAATGCTGTTTCTTAGGATATGGATGAAGAATCTTGAAACATTGTTGCAGAAAGAAACAGTAATGGAAGATTGTAAAAAGAAGTTAAAAGAATTTTTTACAATAATCTTTATAAAGGTACAAACATAAGGATGGTTTGGGATGCAAGTAAAGCTTTTACAAGGGGACATTTTATGTAACATAACAGCAAACTCAAAAAAAGACAAGAGAAAACACAAGCGATTTTAGATGACAGAAAAAGAATTACAGAAATCCCCAGAAAAGAACATTATTTCACAACAAATTAAACTCCTACAATGGCAACTGCCCATGTTAACAGTAAGAGAAATGGAGGTAAAAATGAATTATGCAAAACATGGATATGGATGAAGAATCTCATCCTGAGATTGAACCTGACCATTGACTCCTCTCCATATAGTTTTCTTCCTTAGCACTCGCAGCAACAAAGCTCTTTTAAAAATCTCCCATTGACAAGAAAGAAAGATACTGTGTACCTGGATGATTTCAAGGAGGTGGTGTATCCCTGAGTCCCACATGTGCGCGCACACACACACACACTCACCTCTTCCTGAACATTGTCCTTTGCTGCAATTAAACTTTAAAGAACTGCTAGTGGGAGCAGCTCTTTAAACTAATAGGAGCTGTTTGAAAAACTCTATTATACCATGCTGTGCTTTTTCCAAACATTCTTTAAATAGGAAAAAAGTTCACGCTGAGTCACGGTAGAACAGAGGAAGTCAGAAAAGGAGAAAGGACAGAAGGAGAAAGGAAAATTGATCAAAGAAAAGACAAAGAGATGATAAAGCACGATAAAGAGGGGGAAGAGAGGGAACAGATAGTGGGATATTGTCAATAGAGAGGAAGAAGGTGGCCTTGGCCATCCTCACCTTTTTTATTAGTTACCAGCATGAAGTCCCAAGACAGTTTGCTATCCAAGTTTTAGAACCTGATTCTTCTATATTGTATAGTTAGAACTGTCCAGAGCTGTTACATCTGCATAGATTTCTGTGTTCTCTCTTATGGTCTTTGATGTCTTCTGTTTTGACATCTGCTTCCATATGTCCCTACCTTCTCCAAGGACGTTGCCCTTCTCCATAGCCTAGAGTCTGCCATGGCAGAACAGATCCTGAAAGATACTGTTGTGCAACCCTCCTGAACAGTTTCATCATGTTTTATAACAGGTGTTTTACCAAAAATCCTCTAGGAGAGCAATATAAAATAGCTAAGTAAAAATTCATGAGATGACTTAAGACTGTTCCCATAGATTAAATAAGAATCAGGGTTTCTTAATAAATTTAATATCTTAACTAGCAATTCAGTGCAAGAATGAGTGTGCCTCAGCCAAATGCTATTTCATGCCAAGGTTTTCACAATATACTGAGCCACAAATTACTCAACCCCATTTTAGTTGAGTGTATTATGAAAAGACAACCATTATTTAGTCATTTGCAAAACAATTCTGTCTCTCACCATTTCTCTCTCTCTTCACTCTACACTCAAAAGATTTATCTATTCTTAATCCACAGCTACAGATTTATCTATTCCTAAACCCCCTCCCAACAAGAGTTATTCCTGAATACGTGCAACAATGCAGACTCTCCCTATAGCTTTGTATTCTCTTTCTCTGTAAAATCTGATGCCTTGAATTGGCTTCCTTCAAAAAAGAAGAAAGAACCCATTAGCAGTGGATTGCTCAAAAGTGATTCCAAAGAACTCTATGAACCATCACTTTGCTACACTCAGACACTATGAACGGAAAAAAGTAGGTTGTTAATCTGACATCAGAATTTAGGCACGCACGATGTTTGGTATCAATTCTGCACCAGAATTTTTCTGAGCAATTTAGCATCAACCTTCTCTAATCTGCAGGAATATGTGTCATAAGCCATTTCTGTATTGTCTAAATTATTGAGGATGTATACATGGTTTGGAACCATCTCAAGAGCAACAAAAACAAAAAATATTTACCTGGTATTGGCTTATACTCATTGAATAAATCTACCATTTCTTCCTCCCACATCTTCTTATGTGCTTTATTTCCCATCTCTCTTCCCTTTACAAACTCTTCAAGCTTCTTTAAGTTTCCTTGACCTTCAGGCTGTGTTGGTGTTGGCCCTTAGCAGCAACAGACCTGGAAAGAGCTGCTTAAAACAAAAAGAGGATTCCTTTGGCTGTGCTTCCTAACAAACTGAAAACTGAAAACATCGAACACATTCTAAGGAACTATTTGTTTTTCTATAGTTAACTTTTTAAAAATAAGTGTCAATTTATTTTTTAAACATTTAGTTAATGAAAAGAAATAAAAACAAAATTCTCACTTTGGTATTTGGAAAAGA